AACAGCAACAGCAACAAGAAGAAGAAGCACAACCCCAACCACAACAATCGCAACCAGCTGCAAGACCGAGCGAAAAGCGACGCCCGATGCCTAGCGCGCGCTCTGCAATGACATGCTTCCTTGCGTCTGCACCGATTCGGTAGGGCCTGGCTTGCTCTGTGCTGCGAGGTGGGCACGAGGCGCCGCAAAGGATCCTTGGGCTACTAAGATCGGACATGTCAGAAAAATGGGCTTGGCTGACTCGCCAGTAGATATCCAAAAGAGTATCACAAAGGGTGCCAAGGACAGCTGCGCATTCGGCCAACCCACTCTTCGTTTCGGGATCAAGAGGGCCAAGGGGAATCTCCCCAACCCCTTGACCCCCCCCACCCCTCACCCATGTCTGCTGACCCCAAGTTCCTGTCCGCCGATTTTTGTTGCAAATGTGCTGAGAATTGCAAAGCTCAAAGCATGACCCCAGGCCCGTCTGACGTGTCTGAGACTAGCCTCACAGCCCAGCCCAACCAGCAACCCGCCAGGCCTCGACTCACATGTCTGAGATTGGCCGTAGCCCAGTGTCGGAGACTTGCCTCAGACCCAGCCCAACCAGCAACCACCCTAGCAAGGCTCCACCAACCAACCCAGCCCGCCCTGTCTGCTGGCTCCATGACTCCCTCCTGGTCCTTGCATCGCCTTGCCCCTGCCTCGGGGATTCCTGTGGGCCCATGACATCAAGTCCAACAATGCCAGAACCTGTCCATGCCTGAATCGCCATTTGACCAGCTCTGCTGCTTGCAGTCGAACCACAGACGCTGCGCTCTCGGCTGGGCCGAGGCGGGCAACGCGCAGCGTTTGCAATTATCTTATGGTACAGTCAACAACAGCTCTCTCATTCCGAATAAGTCCAAGGTCATGCAACTGGGATGAGTCAAAGCTGGCATGGCCTGCTCATTCTACTTTCTGTCCTGCATCCACAACTAGGCAGCTCCGCGCGAAGTGGGAGAGCGGCTCCAAGCCTTACTCAAATCGACACCGTGAGGCTTGAGAGGGAACCTGGTGAACTGAGCTCCAGCCCATCAAACCTGTCTCTGTGGCCAGTGGCCCCAAGTTCAGGTTGCCAGCGGTCATTCAACACCACTCGAATTCTTTTTTGCCCACGGACTCCATGGAATGCCTCAATGTACCGCACCGCCTAGAATCACAATGGCTGGACTGCTAGTGCTGCAGTGGTACCAGGCCTGTGCTTAAAAGAGCCATGACTTGTGCAAAGCTTGTCGCCTAGACGCTTGGGCGCCTGGCTGTAACTTCAGCCTAAAAACACATTTCGCCAGAAGGACATTCTCTGATCCTTCTTGTACGCTTCACAGTCCCCACGTCGGCAAGTGGCTGTGTCCTTGCCAGCCGGCAGGCAACACACCCCCTTGATAGTGGAAGAACAATCGATTCCCAACTCATCAGCAGTGTTGCAAGCCACGTAGCGGTTGCTGCAGTCTTGCACCGATGCTTGGCAAGGATCGTGGATAGAAGGTTGATATCCTTTCAAGCAGCACACTGTGTGCTTTCTGGAACTGCAGTCCACACCTCTGGCGGTCTGGCAGGGAACATACGCAGCACATGAAATTCTCTGACAAACTGCATGTGGATCCGCACTCCGGCTCTTGTTGTGCATGGCACCGGTACTTGGCAACAAACAACACGGTTCCTGTTGAGGTGAGGAGCAATTTACCCCATCTCCATGCAAGCAACAACGTGCGCCAATCTGATGATCCTGTGTGGCACCCTTCAAGATGCAACATGGATGTCGCCTGGCTTTCCCTCCTCTCAAAGGCAGTGGCCAACTTGATCCGCATTGCAATTGAGCCCCATGGTTGCTGGGTTTGCAACACCCATCTCCACAGATTGTTCCCCAGGTCGTCAGCCCAGCGTACTTCGTCGCCTTGCAACACTCCAACATGCAGTTTCCACTGGTCTTGGCTCCACTCCTACACTTGAACGTTTCCTCCGGCGGCACCTTCTGAGGGTCGCAGCAACATCCCAACTTGAAGCGGTTTGCCTTGAAGCATTGCTTCCCTTCGGCGGGGCATCGGGGCTTGCAGTCCGAGCTGTTGCAAATCCTTGCCCCATCTCCATCGCAGGTCTCGCAATATGATACTCGATCGAAGTCATCTGGGTATGGGAAGGACTTGGCAAGAGCTGTAGAAAGGAGCAAACAAATCGTTGCCCGCATCGCGAACCGTCAGACTAGCACCTGCGCTTGGCCCGAGAAAATCTGCAGCTAAACAAAAAGGACTTGCCTCCTTCTCAGGCCGTCGAATTCTTGAGCCAAAATGACTGTGGGTCAAAAATAGGTATTCAAATGGACCCTGGCAAATGGAAACATGGGAAAACCTGCGGTCCTCTGGTGGTTTAATTTTGACCCATACCCAAATGACTACAAGTTCTATCACGAGTGCATGGCGATGGCCACACGCTTCGTCTCAGGCTGCGGCCCTTCGCCCCATCGGCAGCAAGCTCGCAGGACCTCGAGAGCCCGCGCCACTCTGACCGACATTCAGCTTCCCTGGTGGTTAAGGAGGGGCTTCACATTGTTACCCTCCACAAAAGGAAGGTCGAGTCAAGTCCCCAAGCCACCAATCCAGACCACCAATTAGTGGAAAGCTGAAACATGACTCAGGGACCAACCCAGCTTCTCGGAACAAACATCAACAAACCGAACCTAAAAGCACCGGTCGCGTCGCAAAAAACAAATCCATCCTCCGCAAGCCCAACGGCTTCCGGAAACCCTCCAGACAGCTGCCGTTTCCAGGCCCCCGGACTGCGCCGAAGTGCACCGCCAGCAGCCAGGGGCCTCGGCTCGCCTGGATGCCCGGCCTGGCGCACGTGGCGTACGAGTCCAAACCCCAAACCCGGACTGGCCTGCTGGTAGAGTGGCTTAGGTGGTAGATCACCACGCCAGTCTGCTCCCCCTGGACGTCTAGCAGGTGGGTTTGCACCTGCACATGGCTCCTTCAGCTGGGTTCAAAGTAGCTTCAAAAACAAAATGATGTTCTGGTGAGAAGAAAAAGAAGATACGTGATGCGTCTATCGTTCCCTGGGCGCAACCTTGAATCCAGGTGTCCATCCTGTCTTAGCTGTTTCTATTTGAGTCGTTTCTCGTAGTGCCCATTTTGCACGACAGCGCCGCACCCATGAAATCAACTAGTTTACAAGGATCAAACCAGGGGACAAACTTCCAATCGGGCCCAGCGGTGGAGCAAGCAAAGAATCTTCCCCCCACAATGGTAGCCTGCCAGTGGACCACAGTTTCCTGCTTCACCTGCTAGACATTATAGTGAGCCCTGCATATGATGGTCCTGCAAAGCTAACAATACAGATGACCAAGATGCAAACTTTGTCTGAAAGGCTCATCCTCTGAAAGAACACTGCGAAACATGCGCAAACTTCCCCTCCTCAGAGACAACATGCCAGCGACACACACGTCTTCAAGATCCAGCCTTCTCACAGCGGACCGGCATGTGGCCAGTGCAGATTGGATGGTCGCCGACTGCTTTCCGGCATGGGCGACTACGGATCACGATGCGTTAGGCCCGATGCAACTGAAAATGCCACGGGCGTGATTGAACAAACAACACGCAGCCCGTGAAGGTCCAAGTGTAAATCACATCGTCAGCGCTGTGGACACCACACGCACCCCACTAAAAGCGCCATGGTTTGTGGCCGCGCTTGATGGGCTGCACGAAGAGTGCGGCCAAAGCAAGTACATCACGTACAGTACCAACAAACTGCCTCCCAAAAATGGTGGGGGGAGGCGCCACTGATGCCTTGCGTGAACACAAGCTGCCTGTGCTTACTGTGCTCAAAGTTCCACAGACAAAACAAGCAAAGAGGGAGACGTTGATTTGGGTCAAATGCAGTGCAGTATGAGCTCTTTTCGGCTATTCTGTTGCTCTTACCGTCTTTGGGCACGAAATTGCTTTAAAAATTGGGAAAAGCCGATGGGAAAAGCTGCGGCTGCCAACTTCTTTGGGCACCCGCCTCCTGCGAACTAGCTTTTGGAACGCTGCTTCACACTGCCTCAGGACGTCTTTTTCGCAGAAGTCACCTGTCCAGGGGAGAATCATATTGCACCCACCTGTCGCAATTCAGGCTTCAAGAACAGCATTCATAACTCAGTCATTTCTGGAGACTTTTTGGACGGGAAAACAAATCCTCCAGGCGACGGACTTTTGCCATGGCAAAGGAAAACTCCCCAACTCCCCCCGGCGGACCGGTCCGCCTTGGACTTGCAACATTGCCGGCATCGGCAACAGCAAAGCAGCACCAGGCCTGAGCACGTGGGAGAGCTTTCCCTGACGAACTGAATCCTGAAATGATGCCCTCAAATCCTTACGTACATGCTGAATGAGTTCATGGCTAAAAGCCTGCGGGGTCCACATGCCCCATTGCGGAACACACTCAAAGCACCTTGATCTTTCCGGTATCTATTTCTTTTTGGGGTGTTTTGCGGCAAAAGAGCCCCGCCACGACCCACAACCCCCCCCCCTCTCCTGGGACCCATCCTGGGCACCTCCAAGCTGCTCAGAGGCCCCGGCCCGCCGCCAGCACCTGGCAGCGTCCGCCCGAGTTCCCAGATCGGGCGCCCGAACTCGGACGATCGCAGGTGGGGGGAATCGCCTAAAGCCTGCTCAAAGGAGACATGGGGAACAAGAAGCCAGAAATCATAAGTGGTATGGTTTTGGCACTTCAAAATAGTGGTTTGCCTTTGGGCTTGCCTTTGAGACCACCAACAAAATGGGAACCCGTAGAACCAGAAAGAGACAAACGACCCGTGCCCAGGTCGCCATAGGTCGCCCAAACGAGTCCCTCGAGCCCCGCACCGCCGCGCTGCCCGCCGCCAACGGGTAGAGCCGAGCCTCGTGAGGGGGGGATCCGGAGGAGAAAAAAAACGGAAAGGAAAGAAGAAGAAGAGAAAAAGAGAGAAAAAAAAAAAAAAAAAAAACGGATGGTTGCTTTCTTGGCATAGGACTTCCGAGCAAAGAACTTGCTCTCAGGGCCCAGCCCACGAGGCGACAATGAGCAGGTCCATCGGGTTCTTGTCCGGAGGCGACCAGCCCTTGGTCAAACAGAAGTAAGAGACATGCTCGAGCCAGTCCTGATAAGTTACTGATAAGCGTGGTTCTGCTGGACATGACACTCTTTGGTGTGACTGCCTCTTCGCCGTTCAACGGCGCAAGTATAAGGCAGTTGCATGGAGACAACCCACATCTGAGCACGTTGTCATGAGTGCGCCAAAAACAACACTCATCATCGGCTACACAGCCCCACCAGTCTATAAGCTGCTGCGGAGCGTCTCTGATGCGGTTCATATCAGGCACGCACCGGAAATGCTGGCACTCTGATGGTGTGACCTGTCCAGCGAGAAGAAACTTGTTCCACATCCCGACACCTACCTGTCCGGTTTCTGCCAAATACGTTGGAATGAGTGCACTTGACCAATGCCATCAGGTCAAGGAGACATGTTACGTGAGTTTGCTTGCCTCGGCTCCGCCCTCTTGTTGGAAGCGCCATTGAACCGTCCTCTTGCTTGTCTCCCATTTATTCCAGGCTGCAGTTGCTGTACAATTTGGCTGAATACAACTCTGTATTTTGGCTGAATACAACTGCGGTAGCCAATCCAAAATCGGGTTTGTCTAGTGCCATAGAACAAAACCCCTGGATGACAAGTTGCCAGGCAAACCTAGCGCATGCGTTGGCTGGAACACAAACTATCAATTGAGCTTCCTTGGGTGAACACTCCTCCATGTCGGTCAAGAGGTTCTCGTGATACTTCATCATGTGGAGATGCCAAATTGCAGGCACGCGAAGACATGGGTGGCATCCAGGAACGTTTCCAGGCCTTTCCTTTTTCAATTACCTTGTCTGGCAGCCTGGCAGTCCTTTCGCTAGGCTTGTGAACCCTCACTGAGCAGCCAAGCCTTTGAGTCCGCGGTTCCAGGTCGTCCGGGATAGCGGAAGGCCTGGAGTCCAGTCTCAAAAACGCCGATCTGCCGATTTCTTCGTGCGCGAAATTCGTGCTGCCAGCTGGCTGGGTCTTCCTATGAACCATCTGCCGTCCATTCCAACAGTTACACCACCAAGCACCAGGGCTCGCCTGGTCTTCCAGCAGGACGGTTTGCCGCAGCAGCACATCCTCTTGCGCAGCAGGGCCAACCTGGCATTCTCCAAGCTCAAGAACAGGAGCCTGAGGACCTGTAGGGGTGCAACTAGTGAGTGAGGCGGTCTTGCTATCCATTTACAAGTGACATATTCACACGTTTGCCAGCCCCTTCGCTGTTCCGAGTTCCGGATCAAGCCAATAACACATTGACACAACCTTCAACCTGCAGTTGGCAGCCTAACAGCCTTCAGGGATACTGCCGCATCCCATAGTCTAAACGTGCGCGGGAGCTCCAGGAAGTCGTATGCGCCCTTCTCCAGCCAACCTCCACCAACCTCACCCACCTGGCAGCGTCTCAGGAAGCGAGGTACAGGTGTGCCGCGTGCGTGTGCGTGTGCGTGTGCGTGTGCGTGTGCGTGTGCGTGTGCGTGTGCGTGTGCGTGTGCGTGTGCGTGTGCGTGTGCGTGTGCGTGTGCGTGTGCGTGTGCGTGTGCGTGTGCGTGTGCATT